GTTTGTAGTGACTGTTGGAATTTGCCACAGTCTGTAAAGTAGAACAACCATGGTCCCAAGGGTTGGACACATGGCTCAGCACTTAAGAACACATTCTGTTCTTCCAAAGACCTATGTTCAATCCCCAACACCCACATGTCAGCTAAAAACCATGTATAGCTCCAGCTCCAGTGGATTAGACAGCATTTTCTGGTTTCTGCATTGGCATTGCTTGACATGGGGGCACCTACCTACATGCAGGCAATACAGTCATACACATTAAATAATAAATAATAAACATTTTTACTAAACCACCATTGATATAGAGGATATTATACTTCAAATGTCATTTTATCCACTTGGTCTAGTGCCTTCTAGACAGCAGCCATGACTTTCAATTAAAACAGAACCATAATATATACGCTCTAAAAAGAAAAATTGTAAGTCACATTAACATAAAGAAAGTTAACATACATATTATGCACATCTTCAAGTAAATTTAGTTGCATTTCCTCTAACACACACACACACACACACACACACACACACACATTATATGAAGTTATAGGGGTGGGGCTTGAAAGGAATTTTTGCTTTTCTTTTCAAATAATTTCCCCCAAATGTATTTCCTAGTGAATATCAACTCATTATAATATATTACGCATATAACATCGAAAAAAGTTAAATAATTTTCACTGAATTAACTGGATTGTTCAGATGTAGATGCATAGAAATATGATTAGGAAATAGATGTATTCCTTGTCCATAATATATTGGAAAAAACCTCTCCTTTTTGGAAGATCCAATAATTTTTACTTTTATTTTTATTTCCTGTTGCTAATCCTGCAAAACAAAACATTTCAAATTAATAGCAGACATTTTTTTTCCCTTACTTTCAAGTGATAATGCAATCCAACTCTGGTAACTGAAGTTCCATACATAATTTTTTCTTTCCTTTGGCCAATGGTGTCTCTCTATTGTCAAACTGGCATCTATTCTTTCTTTGAGGGCCTATTCATATAGCTGATGCCAAAAGTGAATGGTTTATAATAAACAAGAGCAGGGTTTATTCTGCAGCTGTTCCCAGTTATTCAGAAGCATCATGCGTGGAAGACAAACACCAGCCTCAGACAATGCCATCGCCACCTCCCATCCCCTAACCCATTCCTACCAGTGAGCCATTGAGCAGCCTTTGCTACACTGTGCCAGTTATAATTATGAGCATTCTGATCCCCCCAAAGAATGGTATCTCCACCTGCTATAGCAACTGCTTATATCATTCACTCTCTTCATTGTCTATGTGCAATTTCCTGAAATTTAGGATTGGATTAAACAAGACATGAACAGATAGTTGAATTTGTAAATGCTGGTTCACAGTTGTATCATAGATTAGAAATAAAACTGATATGCTATTATAAAGGGGCTGTTAGCAAAAGATAATGAGAAGGTGCCAAAACTATGAGAAAACTACCCAAAGATCATTTGAAACATGGGAAATAGTGTCTCATCATTATAACGGGGTGTTTGATACTGATGAAAAATTAAATAAGATAAATTTACCCTGCTTTCAGAGGGAAGACAAAAAATTTCATTTGCTTCAGTTCCAAAAGAAGGGAGATAAGGAAGAAGAATGTGAAGCAAGCTGTTTGCAATGTAGATAAATGTTTACAATTCAAGGGAAAACTTATAATTTTCAGTTGCCATCAACCTCAGGAAACATGTTTTTTGATGGGTCACATTTTTCTTAATTTTTACCTTTATTTTTAATGTATATTTTATTGAGTTTTTGCACATTTCATACAATAAATCTTAATCATATTTAGATCTCCTCCCTCACCCACATCGCCTATAGCCCTCCCCCACCAGATTTCATGTATTCTGTCATATATGTTAACTCATCAAGTTATATCTTATAACTATTGTAGCTTTGGATGAAATTAAAAAGTTGAACCTGCTGTTCACCACCTTTAGGTTACTCTGAGAGTCTCTTGTGTTTTATCATGTCTCATTATGAAGGAATTTTGTCCTTAATCATGTCATTAGAGAAAACACGGCAAATTGCTTTGGAAAATAGTGCCAAAGAGATAGTGCCTCTCTTCAGAGCCAAGGACTAGCACCTTATTACACCGTGTGTTAAAGATAATGTCCCCCTCTGAATCAAAAAGCAGGTCAGCTTATTATACGTTATAAAAAGATTTGGGTTCTTCAGCTTGGCCTTCCTCTATTATAATGTGACACATGAGAATTAATGATTATATGGTTCTTTCTGTGTCTGCAGTAAGAACTGGAACTTAGGAAATAATGTGATGATGCTGGTAATATGGATAGTGTAATCTTTTTAGTAGTAAACTGGATTTCATTTAAGTCTAAGAGTTTGAATTTTCTAAAAATATCCAAGAAAATGTGGTGGGTGGATTTTATTAGCTAGTAAATAGGGTAAAATTTCAGAAGCTTTGCAGTCCTTAGCTGTCAATGCACAGAAGTAGGAAAGATGTGCTTTAAGAGCACAGGAAGAAGAGGTATAAAAATGCAACATTTGGGTTGTTGGGGGACACTGTGAAAATATTATCAACATTCATAGAATGACCAAAATATGTCTGGCTCAATCACGTTCTTTTCAAAAAACAATATCCATGCAAATGATTCTTATTGGAGATTTATGGTACTTTGAATAGCTTGACTCCATGCTGATCCTCTAAACAAAGTTGATTTATATTATCTAGTAGTCATATGTGATCAATATGTCTCATTTATCTTTACCTTTAACTTTTTTGAATTAAAAAGACTAATTATTCTCCTCCTGCTTACAGACAATCTGTAAGAAAAAGTGGGTAGTAAAATTGCGGTGGTGATTCAGATTTAGCAGACTCATTTACTGAGCTACAGCATGATGCATGTACCTGACCTTAAGAAAAAAATTCACTCCTTATACTCTTAAGAGTTTAGGGGAAAAAATAATTACGAATTGTAGAAATGCAAATATGTCATTTGTGCCTGTATGCTAACACTGCAAACTAGACACCTTGTTTGATAGATCAACACGGTGAGGCTCAGAAAGATTAAGGACATATATTCAAGTTTTTCTTTTCACATAAAGGAACCAATATGGCTTCAATTGCATTGTGCCTCAATCCCCATATGTTAAATCACTAATAAATATTTTCTTTCTTCTTTAATGAATGTAAGAGCAGAATGCAGCACCAACTCAGAAGTACTTCTTCAGATGAGCACTGTACAGGGGGTCTAGCCTCACAAGTGGATTCATCTTCAGAGCAGGCAGTGTTCTGCTTGTGGGCCTCTGCCTTTCCACATCAAGCGAAAACACAGAAAACAACCAGGAAAAAAAACACCCATTTCAATTTGGTTTAGAAACTCAACTCAGAAGAGTGGTCCATGGTAAGATGGTAGAGTGAAGTTGAACAGGTGAAAAGTCAGGATAACAAAAAATATACTTTGCCCCACAGAGAGAGAAAGCAGAAGAGCTGGAAATCACAAAGTGGTGATAGGGCATCTGAAATTTATGCAGAAACAGAATAACCCAGCAGGGGGAGCAAGTCGAGCAGCTCCAGCTGTGTGGCACTTGGTAGGAGGGGAAACGGGAAGTCTTTCAAAAGGTAAGATGGCCCTGGTGTTCTACCTGCAGGACAGGACTAGATTCTGAAAACCTTCAATCCGGTTGAAGGATCTAGGTAATCACTCCTGAATCAGCAGTGGAGAGGAATCCCATTCTGTCACTTGCCTTGTCTCTGAGCAGTGGAACCAAGTGCTGCCTCCATGAGGGAACATATTGTCTAAAACTGAGCTATCCTGAGAACCTAAAACTAGAAACAATCACAAGTCAGGGAGCTGGGAGTCAACTCACCATAGCCAGCATGTGGGAGATTCTGCATATAGCAGTGAGAGATGATGGAATGACTGAAGGCAGGCACAAGGCTGAGCTCAGGTGGCGGGAGGGTTGGGAGATGAAGGACTTGATTCTCAGTCACTCCATCCTGCTTTCCTCTTTGGTGATGACCTCAAATGCTGATAGTCCTGAGGCAAACATCAATGAACCACTCACATTGCAAGCCAGGCAGGTTTTGTATTTGCTGAACTAAGAACTGGAAAGTTCAAATTCAGAGGACACTGCCTACAGCTTCCTTGCCCCCTCAGGCATTTATAATAAACAGAGTGGGAAGGCAGAGATGGCTCCTCCAGGAACAAATCTGTCCTCCACCTGCTTCCCCCACAGCTCACACTTAAGATGCTGAGAATTAACCACCCAAAGGTCTACTGCTTCAAGAGTCTCCGGAGTGAAAGTGAGAGTACGCGGTCCACAGGCTGGAAACTAAATGTGGCCAGAAGTAACTCTGTACATGCACCCCAAGGTGATTAGAACAAGGTAAAAGAAGGGGTGCTCAACTGCTCTGCTCAGAAGCAGTTTGAACAGGACATAACAGAAGAATCTTCCACTGCTACTGACTACCCCTTCTGCTTGGCAGGCTGCAATTATAAGAGAATTCAGAAAGCAGTTGCTTTGTTGCGATAGCTGAATTGTTTCAGTTTTGTTTTCATGTATTTTCTCCTTGTCCTGTCCCTTTCTTTCCTACCACTATACTCTTACAGAAATGAATGGCAACTGGTTCATAAAGAAATCGTGGAGGAAATTAGTAAATTCTTAGACTCAAAAATAAATAATAAATAGTAAATAAATAAATAAATAATGTACGACAGCAAGATTGCTTCAGAAATAGAAGCACTTGCTGCACAAGCTTGACAACTTGAATTCAAGTCTCAAAGCCCACAGCAAAAGGAGAGGATTGGCTTCTGAATTGTCCTCTGATCTCCACACATGCACGTCTGCACTCACAAACACACATCACACACACACGGAATAATGATAATTTAATTTAAATTTTCAAAATAAAATAGCCATGGATTTTTTTCATGATAGAATCTCCAAGTAATCAAGAATATTATGAGCATACCTCAACATAATTAAGGCTTTATATTGTAAACATATTCTTAACAATATATTGAACCTTCCTTTTCTTGGCAGGGACCAGATGTGCAGTCTGCTCCCTGTTGTGTGGAGGCAGAGGGAAAGGGCTGCGGCCCTCCCAGCATCAAGTCTTCAGTGCCAGCGGCTTCCTGTCTGCTGGTTCTATCCTCAAATGCCAGGACAGGGTCTAAAAAAACTAAAACTAAATCAAAATATTAAACAGAGAAAAACTGACTTTCCTCTAAATCCATAAACAAATAACTTTGCCCACTCTCTTCACTATTATTCAGTATAGTGTTTGAAGTCTTGTCAGAGCAATAAGGAAAAATTAATAAGTAGAATGATACAAATTTGAAAAGTCTAATTATTCACACTTACAGATGACATGATTCTGTACTAAAAAGACCCTAAAGACCCTACTAGAAAACTCTTTTACCTGACAACTTCATCAAGGTTACAGAATAAAAAACCAACAATCAGTAGCTTTTATATACACCAATAATGAACTTTCTAAGAAAGAAAACAGAATACAAACTCCATTCACAATAGCTCCAAAAATATCGAGAGACTGCTAAGGTGGAAACTTGAAAACACTGAAGAAAGAACTTGAGGAAGACACCGGAAGAGGGCAAGACCTCCCTCATTTATGAGTTGACAGTTTTACCACAAGTAATTTATGCATTAACAAATTACCCCCCAATTTCAAATAACATTCTTCACAGAACTATATCAGCTATGAACAGTAACAGAAACTAGTGGGAAAAAAAGACACACAAATTGATAATAACATCACTATGTCCAGGACAAGGAATAAACTACCAGTGTATAGTAGATCAGAAAACCTCTCCAGCTGTGGCAAGGCTGATAGCACAACTGGATTAAAAAATATCTGTTTCTTTGAGAAAGGATTATTTCAATCATCTTGAACTTCTGCAACCTTGATGGAAAGTGAAGAAAATCACGTGAAATAGCCCCAAAGATTTATTTGCAAAGGTTTGAGTTTGTATGCATGTATCTATGTTCACATGCACATACATGCTTTGTGAGACGGATATAGAAATACTTGAAATTATTACTGGCTCAACAAGAAAGTAAACAGAGCAGGAAGAGAGGCCTTAGGAAGGTATAAGTCCAAGGTGCTGACCTCCCTTACATAAATCCAACTCGTGATTCTTCACGGACCTGAGCTTTCATGAATATCCAACAAATCAGTAGCAATACTGAGACATCCCCTGAAACACACATCTGAGAAAATTACATTAGAAGGACAGGAGGAACACTTCCCTTTGATGGCCTCATTTTTGCCCCAAACTGTAACAGCATAGACGGAGAGTATTCCTCTAGGCCAAGGGGTTCTACAAGAGGAGATTTGTTAGTAGACATGCAGCTGCCCCAATGCTCTAGGCCACTTTGCATCAAACCCACTTCTATCTTTCCTTAGAGGAAGGATTCCAAGGTATCTGTAGTGGTAGGTCACCCAGAGTCCATTAAAAAGCAGAATCAGAGGGAGCTTAGTAATCAGTCCGTGAATGTTCGCAATGGCTCTGAATTTCAGACCAGGAAACCTGAGCAGAGAAACCTGTAGTTTCACTCTGAAAGAGACATGGTCAACAGGTCTAGGGTCCAGACCCCAGCTACCTTCCCTGCCAAGCATGATATTCTTCACAAGTGCTCAGGCCGGGAGCAAACACTACATCTGTCTGTGAAGTACAGCCTCTTGGTCATGAGCATTGGGGCCTCAGACACAAAACTTCACCCGACCTTGGATCTCAGTCTGTGGTACTACCCAAGTCAAGAACACAAACAAAATTCTTGTTTGATTGGGAAGTACAGAGAGACCTGCTTGGTTTGGGATGCAATTGTAGAACTCAACCAGTAGACTCCACACATTTGGAACATAAGCAGTCCTGCAGCCCAATTAGATGTCACATCAAGATCTGACTGCACATGGCTGCTAACAACAGTTTTTTTATTTAATCCTAAACTAGATTAAGTTAGAAGACATGTCTTAACTAAAGAAAACCTACAGAGTCTGGATGATTTAACTACTTCCTCAAATGCACAGTCTCCAAGATCAGGTAATAAGGAATCACTGACACTTTTCTCATGAATAGGAAAAATTTCTAACTTTTTGTGGTCCTGTAAAAGACCCCAAATATCCAAAACATTATATGTAGTAAAAACAGAAATGGAAGGAGTTGTATTAGCAATTGGTGGCTGCAATCCTGTATTCCTCGTGACATCATACAATGACATTGGACTGTGCAAAATCAGACAGCTGTTCTTCAAAATATTAAAAATAGAATTGACATATAACCCTACATCTCCACTTCTGGAAATATTCTCAAGAATTGAAAGCAGTTTCTTTTTGAGCTTGTGGTTAACACATGCTCATAGAATCCTGATTACTAATTTTCCCTTAAGCAGTTGCAGAGTTTCAGGCTTTATGTTAAGGTCTTTGAGCCGCTTTGAATGTATTTTTGAACGAGGTAAATGATATAGATCTAATTTCATTCTTCTCTAAGTAGATATACAAGTATTGTGATAACACTTGCTGAATAGGGCATCTTTTCTGTACTGCAAGTTTTTGACAGCTTTGTCAAAGGTGGCCATTGCTTTGTCAGTTAATTTCCAGGTCTTCTACTCTTTTCATCAGCGTATGTGTCTGTTTTATGCCACTGTCTGTCTCTGTTACTATAGCTCTGTACTATAATTTGAAGTCAAATATTGTGATACCTCCAGGAGTATTCTTGCTACACGAGGCTGCTATCTGAGATCTTTTGTATTTCCCTGTAAGTTCTTGAATTGTTATGTCTAGTTCTTTGAAGAATGATAGCAGAATGTTGATGGGAGTTGCACTGAGTCTGTAGATTACTTTGGTAATATAGCCATTTGTACAATGTTAATTCTTCCAATCCAGGAGCAAAGAAGGTCTCTTCATCATTTAGTATGATTGGTTTCTTTTTGTTTGAAACTGTTAAAATCAAATCTTAACACCTTGTATGATAGTTTAAAAAATTTATTAAATAATCATGATTGAAAATGGTTAAAATGTGAAAGTAATATGTGTCTATCATAAAATGAATGAACAATAAAAGTATGGAATATACATTAATGCATTATTATTCAGTTTTTAATAATACATGGGTATACCTTGAAAACATTTTTGATGAGTGAAACAAGTCAGCCCCAAAAGGTCAAGTACTGTATGGTTCAAATATTTTATTATTAGAGTGATCAAGATCACAGACCAGTAAAGTGGTGGCTTTCCAGGGAATAGTTGTGAAAAGTAGTAAATAAATTATTATGTATTGCACATAGAGCCTCAATTTAACCAGATGAAATGAATTATAGGGATTAAACTATGGTGATTTTTCTGCAATACTATGTTTATATTTAATTACACTAGGATTGACATTTGTACTGGCTCAGGAGATTAATTTTGATATATTATTTTGACCAAAGAAAAAGATGGAGGAAAATATGTATAGCATAAGAAAATAATAAAAACAACACCAATCAAAACCAACATGTGGTTTCCAGTGTAGGTAACTCAGAAGAAAACTGAATTATGCAAAACCAATCATAAAATCAAAGTTATTTTTGTTGTGTAAAATATTGCTTAGATTGAAATTTTGATTTTTCAAGTCTCACTTTCCATGTGGCATGACACCTGTTGGAGAATGACAAAATTTTAGTAGCATATAATTACAGTTGGTCAAATTTCCCCTGTGACACTGAAAAGAGATTCTATTAAAGAAATATGATCTAGAAAATATTCGAAAGACATTCTCCTTGAAAGTATTTTAAAGCATATATGTAATAGTTACTTAGAGGTAATAGTAAAATATTTTACATTTATTTCTGCACTGCTGGCTTATTAAGAAACTGATATTTTCAATATCAGAAGGTGTGTGTTGCAGAGGCAAAATAATGATAAAATTGCTGGACTTTGAAATGCAATATAGAAATTCTACCACTTCAACAAATCCTTACAAAAGCAGCTTGAGAATAATGCTAAATCTCATTGAGTTTCCTCAAAAAATTGCTGCATTAAAACCTAGAGGCAATTGCTTATGTAGGTAATTCAAAGTAAATAACAATAATATTAGCCCTTTAAACATTCAAGCTTCATTCAAATTCTAAAACTTCCAAATAGTTACTAACCCTATAATTTTTGAACAAGGCATAAAATTTTCTGTAGTTAAAGTTGTTTTTGAATTTTAATTTTGGATTTGTAGCTGCTCCATTTGAAAATAACATTCTGAAGCACTTCCAAGGCAATATCTTCTATTTCTTTACTTCTTTCTAGGCAAATTGATCAGTAGTGTTTTGAGGATTGGCTGTATGCCCAGTTTCCACAAATGCCAAAGACTTCTGTGCACCAAGTTAATTAAAATTGACTGCTTGTTTTAAGCAGAAGAAATGGGCAGTATGCCGGATGCTTCTAAAGAGTGACGGAACAATTTAAGCAAATAGAATAATCTGCCTTCTAGCTAAAAAATAAAAATATTATGTAGCTATAGTTCAAATAAAAAGCCTTTACAATGTTGCTTTTAATTGAAGACTGTGAACTATATACCTTAATAATATTGAAAATGCTCTATTCATCAAAGAAAACAATAAAAATTTCATTTTTCATAAAATCTACAAATTAAGCTTTTTATTATTTTTTTATTTTATGTGTATGAGTGTATTGCCTGCATATATGTGAATGCACCCGTGTCATGCAATGTCACGGAGGTCAGAAGAGGGTGTCAGATTCCCCTGGAATTTGAGTTAAGGACGGTTCGTAGCTGCCATGTGGGTGCTGGAAATCAAACCCACGTCCTCTGCAAGAGCAGTCAGTGCTCTTAACCACCAAGCCATCTCTCCACCCCCAAATTAGGCTTTTTGATGGTCAACGTTTTAAGAAAATGTTTGCCTCAGTTACAAGTATATGCTAAATTGATTTTACAATTGCTAATACCTAAAGTGTATTATCCAATACTGAACACACACACACACACACACACACACACACACACACACACACACATGTATACAAATGTCAATAGAGATCAAATGTTTATTTTGAGGAAATATAATGGCAAACATTCTGTGTGTGTGTGTGTGTGTGTGTGTGTGTGTGTTTGTGCATATGTGTTCACCAGTTATTATCTAATTCCATATGACAAAAACAAAAT